TATATATATATATGTCATATACATATAGTATACATGACATGGAATGTGTTAAATAATGAATTTTCCTTGAATATTGAAGATATATTATTAAAACTATGAAATTATAAGTATTTTTAGACATTATTTTTCAAAATACTACATTAATTTATATATTTATTTTTTAGATTGTAAATGTATTGGGAGATAGAATGACGGAATGTAGGTACGAGGAACCCATAGAAACGTTTGATCACGGCTTTAGGCCTGAGAAATGGTTTCATGTTGATATAATGAGAGAAGGCAGGAAGGCTTTGGAAGAAGTTAATACGAAATTAGGTGAGTAACAAAATATAAAATTCGAATCTTAAAGGTTTGATTTCTTTTAATTAAAGGTAATATCCTTACAACAAACTTTACCTTACAAAAGTAAAAACGTCAAATATATAAAAATTTCCAAATATGTATTCAAGCAGTATTTATCGAAAATAGAGGAGAAATCGATAAAAGTCGCTAAGTAATTTATTGTTTCTTTTTTCAAAAAAAAAATAATTCTTTTGTGGAAACGTTTTCCATATAAAATATTGTATTTCAACAATTACTTATGTAATTAGAAGCATCATACGTGTTATTGGTTTTATTAATAGATATATGCTAAAATATCCAGTGAGAACACTTGACATGAGGAGACACTTAACTTCCGGATTCAAAAACTTGACGTGCCCGGTGATTGCAATAGAATCATTAAATATTTTGTACCCTGCAGCTTTTTTGTCTAAAATATTTTTCTCAAAATTACATACTTTCTCAGATATTCAGCCGCTCCAAAATATTTCAAACCATTTACAGAATACATTAAGAAATTCATCAAGAAAGTTTTTTAACCTCCAATCATCTATCTGTGCACTAATGATTGTTTTACGCTATATTCCTGACACTTTGCAATGCTACAGTTCTGTTATTCTTATATTATTCTGTTTTTCAGGTTTGGCATTTGATGATTGGGACTTAGACTTCTACACGGAATTGTTCCTCTCGAAATTAAAACGTAATCCAACTAGCGTGGAATGTTTTGACCTTGCTCAGTCAAACAGTGAGCATAGTCGTCATTGGTTCTTTAAGGGACGTATTATTTTGGATGGAGAAGAGCAACAACAATCTTTGATAGACATGATCATAGATACCCAAAATTATTCAAATGCGAACAATGTGATTAAATTCAGCGACAACAGCAGTGCGATAAATGGATTTCAAGTCGCAGTTCTACGTCCTACGAAAACTTATGACAGCAGTAATTTTCATTTACAAGATATCAAGCAACATCTTATTTTTACAGCAGAAACGCATAACTTTCCAACTGGTGTAGCACCTTTCAGGTAACTTTTCTGACAAAAGAATGAATAAAGAAAATGAAAAATGAAGAAAAGAGGATTGATAAAAAGGAAAACGTCAAATGTTAAATTTCGCTATTTTAACACTCCTTCTTAATTTAATCATCTTTACAGTCCTCTTCAAATTAATATGATTTTCTTGCCTTTTACTTACGTTTTAACGCAAAATTTCTCGCCCTTTTCATTTCTAGAGTAAAAAATAGGAGTTTCCCATTAAAAAATTTCAAGTTGGCCTTGAAATGATATCTAAATTTGATCTCTACGCTGGAGTAAGGTCATTATTAGATGCTTTTCTTTAAACTCTGCAAATTTCGTATTTTAACTTTCTTCCTTATTCGTTACCTTCCGAGATATTCCGGGGTTCCGGTACTTCTTATACATTCTATATGTTTAATCTTTTTTTAGTGGTGCTACAACAGGTACTGGAGGTCGACTGAGGGATATTGAAGGAATTGGAAGAGGTGGAAATTATATTGCTGGTACAGCGGGATACAGCGTTGGTAATTTACACATTCCAGGTATGTTATGTATTTCTGCTTTTACTTTTATAATAATTTGGTACGACTTGTGTGCCAAATACAACCTGTATATAACAGTCAAATTTGGTGCTTATTACTTCTTAATTTATTTTTTGATTTCAGGTTATGATTTACCATGGGAAGAAAAAAATATAGATTACCCAAGTAATATGGCATCGCCGTTGGAAATAATAATTGAAGCAAGTAACGGCGCTTCCGATTATGGGAATAAATTCGGAGAACCGGTCATATGTGGTTTTGCGCGTACTTATGGAGCAACGGATAACATCGGTGTAAGACGGGAGTGGATTAAGCCTATAATGTTTAGCGGTGGATTAGGAACTATGGACGCGAATCTTACTAACAAGGTAAGTTTCTAAAAATTCATTCAAATACAAGATGTCTATGTAATGAATGATACAACATTCGCACGCAGATGAAACGCATCAAACTGAATAAAAAAGTCTTATGCTATTTTGCTTATAATCATAATAATTATTGTGATATTAGATGTTCCGGTTAGTTTTGAATGATTTTTTGCAAAAAACACGTTTAAGGAGATAAATTATATTTTATTCAAAATATTTTCCATCGCTGGCCATCATTTTTTTCCTACTTTTCTGGTAATATGTGAATTCCGCGAAAAAAAAATTCGTCCTTCGAAGCAATTCATTTATCGAGCCATTTTTGTATTTCTTCATATGTCGCAAAATGGTCAGCAAGGCTGTGCTGCATCGATCCAAATAAGTGATAATCTGAAGGAGCACAGATAGATATAATTTATCAAACATTTCAGATAAACAATCTGACATTTACGATGTATCGAATGTTTATTAGATATAGTACGTAAATTTTAGGTATGTATTTGTGGTTCAACCATCTCGGTATAAATAATAATAATTTTTTTCATATTAATAAAACTAGATTCTTTCTTAGGTCCCAGCAGAGCGGGGTATGCGAGTGGTAAAAATTGGTGGGCCAATTTATCGAATTGGAGTAGGTGGCGGATCCGCAAGCTCTGTGGAGGTTCAAGGCGACAACAGTTCGGAACTAGATTTCGGTGCTGTACAACGCGGCGATCCCGAGATGGAGCAGAAATTGAATCGCATGGTGCGAGCGTGCGTGGAAATGGGCGATAACAATCCAATCCTCAGTATTCATGATCAAGGTGCCGGTGGTAATGGTAACGTTCTGAAAGAATTGGTAGAACCAGCTGGTGCTGTGATATTTACAAAGTGTTTTGACCTTGGTGATCTCAGTATCAGTACTTTAGAACTGTGGGGGGCTGAATATCAGGAAAGCAATGCGATATTATGCAAGCCGGAAGATAGTGATTTATTGAAGAAAATTGCTGCACGCGAAAAGTGTCCCATCAACTTTGTCGGCACAGTTACTGGAAATGGAAAAATTATCGTTTCCGAAGAGGAAGATTGTAACACTTCTAAATATCTTAATTACGAAGGCAGAAATGCGTGTCTAGATATAAAGCATCCTGTGAATCTGGATTTGGAACTTATTCTTGGAAAAATGCCTCGCAAGGTGTTCAATTTGCAAAAAGAATCGCCACAAAGGTCTCCAATAAGATTGCCCGATGGATTAACCGTGTCCAGTGCCTTAGATAGGGTTCTTCGATTGCCTTCGGTGGCTAGCAAACGGTAACTCTTTATTATGTCATGCTTATTAAAATTAAACTTAATAAATAAAATAAAATAATTCTTGCAAGAGCTTTTTGGAAAGTTACTTCGCAACATAGTCTATTCTCGCAGTCACATGATTGCATGTCTGCAATTTTATGTACATTATTTGTTAAATTTTTGATTGATTTACTTTTACACTATTTTCTCACGAATATTGTATTTTTATTTTTTTTAACTTCTGAAGAAAAATCAAATACTGCGAAAAATGATAAATGTGATTTGTTTATCTGTAGATACTTGACCAATAAGGTGGATCGTTGCGTAACAGGCTTGGTAGCCCAACAGCAATGTGTCGGTCCGTTGCATACTCCGTTAGCGGATGTTGCTGTGACGGCCATTTCGCACTTCTCCGTCGAAGGCATTGCAAGCTCAATAGGCGAGCAACCTATAAAAGGCTTGGTGAACGCAGCGGCCGGTGCTCGGATGACAGTGGCTGAAGCTGTCAGTAATCTGGTATTTGCGCGAATCAGCAGTTTGCAGGACGTCAAATGCAGTGGCAACTGGATGTGGCCGGCTAAGCTGCCCGGTGAAGGTGCGGCGCTCTATGAAGCTTGCACGGCTATGTGTTCGTTAATGAGAGAGCTGGGGATTGCGATTGACGGCGGTAAGGATTCGCTCAGTATGGCTGCACGAATTGGCCAGAAAATTGTTAAAGCGCCTGGAACGCTCGTCGTGTCCTGTTACGCGCCATGTCCCGATATTCGCTGTGTCGTTACTCCGGATTTAAAGGCTCCTGTTACGGGACGACAAGGTTGTCTATTGTTCGTCGATCTGTCCCGCGGCAAAAGTCGACTCAGCGGAACAGCCTTATCTCAAGTATACAATGAATTAGGTGATGACGTGCCGGATGTTGAAGACGCTCGGGCTCTCAGAAATGCCTTCGATACCACGCAGCAGTTAATTGCCGATGAAAAGATACTCGCTGGACACGACGTGAGTGATGGTGGATTGATCACCTGTCTTTTAGAGATGTGTTTCGCTGGAATTTCCGGGATAAACGTCAATATAAGTCACAGATCTGCGCCCGCTATTGACGTTCTATTTTCTGAGGAAGTTGGTTGGGTGTTGGAAATTGATCAGGTACATTATGACGAAGCGATACAAGTGTTCCAACATCAAGGAATTTCTGTGTATCCAATTGGAAAATCTGTGGGCTTTGGAATAAGTTCAGAAGTAATTGTTAGGGTGCGCAGTGAGATCGTGTTGAGCACCACAGTTATTGACTTGATGAAAATTTGGGAAGAAACCAGTTACCAACTGGAGCGTCATCAAATGAACGTCGATTGTGCCTCGGAGGAGTTCATTGGACTTGAAGGACGAACAATTCCTGCCTATCGTCTCAGTTTCAATCCTATTAGAATCGATCCTGATTTCGCAATATCTCGTACAATATCAAAATCCATCAAGGTGGCCGTGATTCGCGAAGAAGGTATTAACGGAGACAGAGAAATGGCCGCATCTCTATTGGAAGCCGGTTTTGACGTATGGGACGTTACAATGCAAGATTTGCTGGAGAATCATGTTAATCTTGAGATTTTCCGTGGCGTCATCTTCCCCGGTGGTTTTAGCTACGCTGATGTTTGTGGCTCTGCCAAAGGATGGGCGGCGAGCCTTCTTTTCAATCCATCACTACGTGAACAGTTGCGACAATTTGTCAATCGCAAAGACACGTTCAGCTTGGGAGTTTGTAACGGCTGTCAGCTCATGAACTTATTAGGCTGGGTAGGCAACGTAAATACAGAAGAGACAGCTATATATTTGGATCACAATCTCTCGGAGAGATTCGAGTGCCGGTGGAGCACCGTCAAAATCGAGAGTTCGCCTTCGATTATGTTAAAAGCAATGGAGGGTAGCGTGTTAGGGATATGGGTAGCCCATGGAGAAGGCAGATTCACCTTCCGCGATAAGGAAACTTTGGAAACTCTCGAGAGAAATAACTGTTTACCACTCAGGTATATATTTTCAGATTTTAAGATTTCAGTAAACTATCAAATATACAAACATAATTTCATATTATTTAATATAATGGCGATAACTCGAAAACTACGCATTTCCGGACGTATGTATTCTTTCTCTCTGTTAGGTACACTGATGATTCTGGTAATCCTACTTCTCGGTATCCCCAGAATCCGAACGGTAGCGTAAACGGCATCGCCGCTGTGTGCTCTAAAGATGGTCGACACTTAGCGATGATGCCGCATCCGGAGAGATGCACACGAATGTGGCAATGGCCTTGGAGACCTACAGAATGGAACTTTGAAGTGTCACCATGGCAGCGACTTTTTGATAATGCTTTCATTTGGTGTCAAAAACAGGATTAGAAATTTTTCTACTTCACACATTGCATTTTATACATGAAAAAATTTATTACAACTTATATCCATATATTTTTTGAAAGATTTCTAAGAATAGTAAAAAATTATATATAAGAAGAAAACAATCTATAAATGTTTTTCTCTGCGAATTTAAGAAATTTATCGAATTTGTATGAATTTGTATGAACACTCTTTTTAATAAGAATTATTTCGAAAAATTTTTTAAAGTCGATAAACTACAACACACATATATATATATAGTTTGAATTTCGTCTACGTTTTATTATTTCTGATATTGGAAGTAACGGGTTTTCGCAATTATTAGACCCGTTATTTCTGTAATTTTAGTTTCAGAGTCTTCGCTACGAATCGCCACTATCTTTAACGAGAAATTGAGGTCGTGATATGACTAAACGATGAAGTCAGACGTACTTCTATTTCTCAAGTAGTAGGACTCAAGGGCTGGTTAGACGTACTTTCCATCGTAATAAAATATAGGCGAAATTCAACAGGCTGTAATTTTCGCAATAATGATGCTATCGAGATCGTTTGAAAAGCACTTTAAAGCTTGAAGTCTCTAGTTTTTAAACACATTAGCTATATTAATGTTGTCGTTAATTTTCGTCAAGATATTTTGAGTTAAACGAAAAGTGGTGATCGCTCAATTTCAGTTTTAGGAAATCCTGCATGGTAACAAACTTACAGTAGTGGAAGAGGTTGTGTTCCATGCTGTTATCTCATAGCTTTAGGATATCCTGCATGGTAACAAACTTACAGTAATGTATGAGGTTGTGTTCTATGCTATTATCTCATAAGTTGCGTGACAAAATAAGATATAATATGGAAATGAATAAAAATACATGTAACGCTCTAAAATCATAACAGCAGAGATAGTAATTTTTATTGAAGAAAAAATAATGAATATTGTGTTTTGTAATTATTTTGTTATTATATTACAGATATATATTACAGATAATAAATGAAGCTTTTAAACATATATAATTTCGAAATATTAAAATAACGATAAGAAAATAAAAGACAGAACTATAATTATATTTTCTTACATGCGTAAGCATAGGTTTGCCGCGTATTTCGTCGCCGTATTTCCCGACGGACATTGTATTACTCGTTACATCGCGATCGTGGAATTCACATTAATCGCCGTCAAGTCGCGCTTTCAAAATTTGCGCGCAATGAAACGATGAGGTCGGACGAGGGCCCGGTCGCGATCTGCATTGATCGATCGATCGATCGATCTACCGCCGCCATTAACCGTAAGCTTGGCATCACGTTCAGTCCGCGAAGGTCGGTTACGCCGCGTCGTCGTTGCGGAAGATCGCGACCACCTAAATTCGATTCGGAATTCGGGGGAAGCAGTCGGACGTTGAAAGGATGGATTACGACGTGAATTCACCAATTTTGGAAAGCGATAACGGCCGACATGACGGTATATGTTGACGACGATTCGATGACGCTTACCGTGAAGTTGGAGCGACGTTCCACTGCCATTGCATTCTCACTGCTAACGAGCGAATCGCGCGCGGATCGCACGAGTGCCGATGGTATTCAGCCGATATTCGCGCGTAATTAGTAACTGCGCGGACGTGCACGCTTCCCCCCCTCCCCCGCGTTCGCGATCGCGTAAATGAGTGTGCAAGTGAATCTTTCATCGCGCTCGGAGAGGACCAGGGAAGGATTATAATCGGATCAGTAACCGGCATTCGCAGCGGAATTTGATGGAGCGTGACAAAATGGCGGTATGAATGGCGGACTGGTTAGTAAATTTGTTCATGCATTACACTTTAATTAACCGAACGTACAAAAACGCATTCGTTCGCAATGATGACGGGCGAATTAACGTATTTGGCGGATCGTATTTAAATCGCTCCTCTTTAGCCGAGAGTTAAAGAAGTGTTTCGTACAAGGCGGATCGCATAAACAAAACATCGTCTCCGATAACCTAATGTATATACAGGGTGACCCATTTTCATGGGAAACAATGGGATATTTTGAAAACGGAGCAATTGACAAAAATTCGAACAAAATTCAGATAAAATCCTGTTCCATGGTAGGTCTACGATTGTTGAGTCTACTCCGTGCTGTGGCCGGTATTCATAAAGTATGTTCAAGGAGTGCGCTATTATTATTAGCGAGTCATTTTTGTCATATATCTAAGTACATAGCACAGAATAGAAATAAAAATTCTAGACATAACACAGAATAGATCGTGCATGTAGCATGGAACAGAACCCAAAAATTATGGATATAGCACAGAACAAAACCACAAAATTGTGGACATTGGTTTCGTAGTTCGCGAATAATGGACATAAAGGTGTTTTAATATAAAATTACAACTATATCGCGGTCATAGCCGTTTTTAGGCTTCTTTCTACTTATCTTTTTACAAAAAAAAAAGTTATTTAGTTTTAAGCAAAAACGTGCAAACAGGACAAACTGATCCCATGTCTAGGGTTGGTTGTCACATGTTTCATATATAAAGAAAACAGTATATATAATTTTCGTTTTGATGTTTTTTAAATATTTTATTAAAGTTAATAATGTCATATAGTCAAACTGTAATTTTACCTTTACCGTTTTTCGCGATTGCGCTTTCGAGCCATGACAATTGAAAAATAATTAAGATCTATCCAAAATCTATCTATTTAAAACTTTTATATCTAAGAACATAATTTCCTAATATAACTGGATAATTTGACTATAATAAGATTCGATGATCTATACATATATTTCCGTATACATATGTAAACGTTACAATTGAGTCAATTTACTTGGAATGGAACATTTTGAATAAAAGAAATTATATTTCTAAATCCTTAACATTAGAAAACCGATCGTTGGTTTTACACTTTATTTACAGGATTAAGTCGTTTGATAATTTTCTCGCAATCGCGAGGACGAGTCTCTATTCTTAACTTTATATCCGTGATGTGAGGCGACGAAATAAGGTTACAAATGTTTTCGCTAGGGAAATAAACAAAAATAAGATTTTTATCGAATTTTTGCGACATTGGTGCGAAGCTTCGTGTTTACGAGAAGCGTCAAGCGCACTGATTATATTTTATTTATTTGCTGATTGAATTTTCCTTATTTTCTGTTTTTGATCCGGTACATTCTTCATTCAGCCATCTCATGTTGAATATAGTAAAAATAGGTCGTCCTGTGTTTATGGTCTCTAATTAATCATCTCGTCTAAAGAGCCGCGAGGGAATATTTTTCCAGGTCAATATATGGCAAAATGTAAAATCTGTGTTCATTAAAAACTAATTATATGTAGGAATAAGGGAAAAAGGGTCAAAATCACTAAAGAGTCAGTTCGATTTGCAGGAGATATTTTATTAAAAAAAATTGAGAATATATGAATAATGAATGAATTGGTGACAGATACATTGAAAATTTAGAATTCACATTTTTATACCTAAAAACTAATCCCTAACCCTAATTCTCTGTGTGTCAAGATGGGTATTTTATACTTGAAGTAAACATTAGAACAATATATTTTATATGATTGTAACATGCACTGCTGGAATAATTGGGAGATCGCTTTCTTAGATAGTTGAATTGGATCGATGTGAAGCTGGTGGTCAACTTTGAAATATGGCCTTATTGCGTCACCTTGAATCTGCCTTTATTTGCTTCTGTTTAACATTGTTAATGTATTCATATTTAAACCTTTATTTGTGCACAACATTATTGGATACAAGACAGTTGGGTGAACATATTAGTATTTCAGCTTTTACTTTCATCTTTAGTTCTAAGCTATATAACAATTCAACCATTCGTTTGATGCGATCCATTAATTTCCGCGGGCATTGTATTTTAATTAAACAGAACATGTGATGCACATACACACACAAACACACATACGTACACATACATATATACACGCATTGATATTACTACCGAGAAAAATATTCTGCATTGCATGCACTCGTTAAGGCTGCACTGAGGGAATTTGCCTCACGCGATTAGTTTCGGCAGTATTCACCGGTATTACTTGCTACATTGCGCCTGTTGTTTATGACATTACGTTGTCGCGAACGTATGGACGTTGGAAGTCGCTGATCCATATATACACAGTGCGGCTAAGCAGGTCTGATCGCTAATTTCCTCTACCGAGAGGGACTGCGGGAGGGAATGCTAATTTTCAGTTATCACGGTAATCGCGGCTTTCACGGTCGTTCGGATTAACTCGTCGCGAATGAATCGCTTTATATGAGATTAATTAGCTCGACGATGCACAGAGGGCTTCTGGAGTTTCAACATTCAATATCTTTGTATTTAAGCGTCGACGCTCCATTGAGATAAAAAGGCCGAAATTAGTCGAATTAGATTAATTAGGATGAGAAAAAACTTTGTTATCTATCCTGCATCTCTGCTTAATTATTCCCATCATTCTTTCACCTTCTCACTTTCACTCTCGTTAGAATGTTTCCCTTTCTACATTTATATTATTCCTTGCATGTGTTTCTATTCTGACAAAAATGTTCCTGTGCTACGAGCATTTTTAAGAAATTTTTTAAATTTATATTAATCGACTAAATCTTGAAAATAGCGTGAAATTTCGATTCGTTCGATATTCTTCCACAAAAACGAGGAAAAAGCAGATATGTTTCGGCGAGAAATGTATCGCGTCCTGCAACGAGTACAGCCCGTTATTATCACATACACTTTTACACACACAACCGCGCCGGGAATCGTCGAGTTTGTGATGGAGGTAGCTCGTCTTTCTCGTCCCCCTTCTTTTCGCTCTCTCTCTCTCTCACACTCTCGTAAATTAAATGTATGTAAAGGCAGAATCGCGATTCCATGGAAACGCGCGCGCAATCTCACCACGTTGTAGGAACCGTAGTAGTCGGCAGGCGACGGCCGCATCCGACCGTCCGTAAACAGTTTACGGATGCATGCGTTTAAGCGCGGGTGAGCGCGTAACGCGCTGAATCACGAACAAAGGGTAATAGCGCTCGTAACTCGAATATTAACAGGGTCTGGCTCGATTCAATTTACCGCGGCGCGCGGTGCCCAAAATTGGTTCGTCTAACGCCCTCGACGTTGATCCTCGTCAGCCACTCGCATCGGCTCGCCCCCGTCGATGGCGTCTTCGCTTCATAGAGCCGCCGCCGCAGCGATACCGGACATCGGCCCACGGGCGCAAACACGTGTATACACATCGTAACTCACCGCCACATTGACGCGCGCTCGCGCACCCGGCCGTGAGTCTACACCTTCGCCACGAGCGGCTAGACGAAGTATCAACAGGTGCTGTCAGTCGGTTGTTTCGCTTAATCGGTTTCTATTCTGTCCGAGACTTCTAAGCTTCGCCCGGCAATTCCCGTGACACTCCCCTGGGGGGAATCTTAGACGCTAGACGTTCGTTCCACGCCATTTGCGCGCAGCTTGTTAGAGCTTACAAATCGCATCTGAACCCGGAAGGAGGAACAGGGAAGAATGACATTCGCCGACACGGGAGGTTTTCGCGAGACGAATCCGAGCGCGACGCGGTGGACATGCATTGTCCCGAAGAATTAAAATTCCGAAATTTGAGAACAGGGGTAATTTTCTTTTAAGTCTAACGATCTCCAATTAATAGTGTTCGCCGCCGCATTGTTTTTTTCCGGGGGTGAGACGCGCGTGTTAAACTTACATATAATTTGTATTATTTCAACACAAAAGAATATTCAATTCAATTCTATAGTATTTTCAAATAATACAATCACGATATGATAAATAGACCCACGATTATGTTGAGAATTTAATACAAAACTTTTAACACGGACCGATTTTAACAAAAATATAAAATGCATATAATATGACTGAAGTTTAGTTAAGCTCATTTTTTTGTCCCTGTATTTAGTTTTTAGCTCCCGCAGTTATAAATTAAATTTGGCAATTAAATGTCAGTTGTGTTATAT